TTGTCAGCAGAGAAAAATAAATATGACTAGCATGCCTGCCACTATAGTACTCAGTTTCCTTTCCCTGTTTCTGTGGTACTGTACCCATGTATCCATGTCTATTTTAAAGTGTTGCTTTCGTGACAGACCCAATGTTGTGCTTTAGCTTGCCCATATAAAATCGCATAAAAATACTTTTGCCCTTGCTGCAAGGATTCCTGAGTATGATCTCCATATGTAAACCAAGATTGCATAAATGAAAGAGGATGTCTCCCTTTGGAAAGTCAATTAATCAGTTCCATCTACAAGGTGTCATTCACTTTGGTAAATTCCCCGGTGCTCCTTCATCCTTATACAGCGAAGCACCATTTGGTCTCTGTGCCAGGACTGACCTCATTAGGGTAGCCCACAAACAAAATGATTCCCTAATACAATTTGAGGGCTTCGCCCTATAACAGCTTCCACTAAGATAAGGGTGTTGCCAGTGAGTCAGTGTTGAATAGGCATGTCTGTCTTCAAGTTTTCTTCTTATTTATTTATTTATCTAGCTATCTATTTATTTACTGGCAGTATTAGGGTTTGAACTCAGCGCCTTAGTCTTGCTATCAATGAGATCATGCTCGTAGTCCTGCTTTACTTTTTCATTTTTAAAAATAAGGTCTTGTGTTTATTCCCAGGCTTTCCTGGATAGTAAGCTTCCTATTTATGCTTCCCATGTAGCTGTGATGACAGGTATGTATGATTATGCCCAGTCCATTGGCTGAGATATGGTCCTGTGACCTCTATTCCTGGACTAGCATTGAACTACCATCTTGATCTCTGCCTCCCAAATAGCTAGGATTATAGACATGAGCTACTTTGTCCAGTTTGACACATTGTTTCATTAAAAGTGTCAGTAAGTTCATTTGGGTTACAGTTATACAATTTGGACCTGAGAGCCACTTTCTTGCTTTACCCATGATGCAATATGCTTTGATGTTGCTGCCTCCCTCTTGGAAAAAAAGGTTATATTATGCCATATGTTATATTATATACGTTACATTAATATAACATATAGTCATAATCATAGTATGTTAACACAGACTCATACTATATTAAGTATAATCATAACATAATCATATGTTACATCATATCACATATCTTAAAACACACTATGTATTATAGAATACAGTACATTTAATTTTACTTAAGTTAGTAAGCACCTCACTTTTGTGTTCTGTGATTCTTAAATAGCCCCTATAAATAGCAGTATAGTATTCCATTCCACAGTATTCCACTGACTTCTTGCACAATTTATTGCAGTAATTCTCTTTGATCATTGGTCATTTATATTTTCCTCTCCCACCCTATGAAATCATTAATACATATAAATTTTTCTCCTTTGGTAGTTTTCACAAGAATAAACTATGTGTGTTAGAAAGTGAAATGGAGAATATATTGTGCAACTTTTTCTAGTTATTGCCTAATAATTACAAACAGTTGGAGCAATTCATACTGACAGCAGCAAAGACAATTTCAACATGATCTTATCATTGGTCTTCTTTATTTTTCTGAAATATGTGTGGTATATTAATGGGAATAAAATTTCTCTCTTTCTTCCTCTCTCCCTCTCTCTCTTTCTCTCTTTCTTTTTCTCTGTTAATCCAGGTACTGGTGGCTCCCACCTGTAATCTTAGCCACTCAAGAGGCTGAGATCTAAGGATCAAGGTTCAAAGCCAGCCCAGGCAGGAAAGCCCTTGAGACTCTTATCTCCAGTTAGCCACAGAAAATCCGAAAGTGACAGAGCACCAGCCTTGGCTGAAAAAGCTAAGGGACAGTACCCAGGACCTAGATTCAAACCCTCATAGAGGGACAACAAAATCAAGAAAAAAGAAAGAATTAAAGGTAGGCACATAAACAGACATGTGCAGTGGTCCCAGCAGCATTGCACACTATAGGCACAAGGTAGAGCAGCTCAGGTACCCTTGAAAGAAATGAATGCATGAAGGCAATGCACATCCAAGTCAATTTTATAGAGCCTTAAAAGAAAAGAGAGAAATTTCAACACATAATGCCCCAAGGAAAAACCTGAAGACACCATGATGAATGAAATGTCATGCATACACATAAGCAGTGTGTAACTCTGCTTACATGAAGTACCTCCAAGTGCACAAAAAGAAAGCAAAGTTGTGTTCCAGGAGTTGGGATGAGGTGAAATGAGGAGTGTAACTGTCACAGAGATTTCATCGTGTAAGACAAAAAGAGCTCAGATGGTGGTGAAGGCTGCATAAGAAAGAGAATTTACTGAGTGCCACCAAACTGGGTACTTAAACACAGTTAAGATGCTAAGTTATGTTACATTTATTTTACTATCATTAAAAACAAGATTAGGACACAAGTGGTTTTTTCTTTCTTGCTATTGTTTCCAACGTATTTATAAGGTACCACGTGATTTCTTTGTTGCTTTGTATGTCCCTCCCCCATGGTATAACCCGTTTTCACTGTATTTGATGTCGGTATAATTTGTGGAGGGGAAGGGAAAAAACAAATTGTTTAAATACGGATACAGGTGGACCCATTGCAACAATGAGATGTACAAGATGCTATGTCAAAAAATGAACTTAACAAATGAGGAGACAACAATGCTCGATAGGAAATGTCCTCATTACCTTGCTCATGTGATTGTAACCCCTCTGTATAGTTTTTTCAGAATAAAAAACTTATTTAAAAAAAAAAAAGTTGTCGCTGGGCGCTGGTGACTCACCTCTGTAATCCTAGCTACTCAAGAGGCTGAGATCTAAGGATTGCAGTTCAAAGCCAGCCCGGGCAGGAAAGTCTGTGAGACTCTTATCTCCAATAAACCACAGAAAACTGGAAGTGGTGCTGTGGCTCAATTGGTAGAGTGCTACCCTTGAGCTGAAGAGCTGAGAGACAGTGCCCAGGCCCAGAGTTCAAGCCCCACAACTGACAAAAAAAAAAAAGTTACAAAAAATTATTCAGCTCATTTCCAACTATATTTTTAATTGCTAGTAAACCAAACATCGTCTATTTTACTATTAATTTTTTCATTGAGAAAGTAAAATTATATTCTTTATACATTTTTTGAAAACTTGATATTATACCTAGCACTTTATGTAAACTTTGTGTGTATCTGTGTCTATGTGTGTATGCCATAGTACTAGGGCTCAGACCCAGCCTGGGCTCTGTTCTTTAGGGTATTTTTGTTTCTTGTGTTACTCAAGACTGGTGCTCTACCACTTGAGCCACAGCTCCACGACTAGCTTTTTGTAGTTAATTGGAGATGAGAGTCTCACAAACTTTCCTGCCCAACCTGGTTTTGAAACATGATCCTCATATCTCATCCTCCTGAGTATCTAGAATTACAGGCATGAGCTACTGGCACCCAACTTATACGAACTTTCATGATACAAGTTTTTTTCTGTTGACATAAGGCTCACTTTCCCAATTAACTATCTTAGTGTAAATATTCAGATATGTTTCTATGTTTTATAAGCCTCTAAAACTTATATACAGACTATATTTAATTTAGTTGTCACTTTTTGAATAAAATCTTCCTAGTTCACTTCCTCTGATTTAAATATGCTTTAAAATGTTTGGTTTTAGCTGGGTGTCAGCAGTTCACAACTGTAATCAGGAGGTAATCAGGAGGCTGAGATCTAAGGATTGCAGTTTGAAGCCAGCCTGGGCAGGAAAATCTGTGAAACTTTCATCTCCAATTAGCTACCAAAAAAAAAAAAAAAGCCAGAGTGGTGCTGTGGCTCAACTGGTAGAATACTAACCTTGAGCCAAAAATCTCAGGGACAGTACCCAACTCTTTTTTTTTTTTTTTTGGTCTGTCGTGGGGCTTGAACTCTGGGCTTGGGCACTGTCCCTCAGCTCTTCAGCTCAAGGCAAGTGCTCTATCATTTGAGCCACAGGGCCACTTCCAGTTTTCTGGTGGTTTATTGGAGATAAGAGTCTCACAGACTTTCCTGCCCAGGCTGGCTTTGAAACATGATCCTCAGATCTTGGCCTTTTGATTATCTAGGGTTACAGGCATGAGCCACCAGTGCCTGGCCCAAGTCTTGAGTTCAAGCTCAAGCACCAAAAATAAAAATAATAAAAATAAACAAATGTTTTATTTTTCATATTAAAGTAAGTCATTACAGCCCACATCTCACCTCTTCACTATTGCTTAAGAAATATATCCACCATCCTCAACACTGAATCACACCCTACCACTTCCATATACTCACGCATTGAGCTATATGAGCTCCATGGTTTGTTCAAGTGCTCACCAATACTTAAAATGCTTAAAATACTGGTAAAGACTCATATTCAAAACTGTTCTGTATTGGTGCATATCGGAAATCTCAGCTACTTAGGAGGCAGAGGTTGGGAGGATCAGAGTTCAAGCTCAACCTAGGAAAAAGTAAGACCTCATGTGTATGGTGGTATGTATCTACTGTTCCAGCTATGTATGAGTCATCTCATGATCTGAAGCTAGCCCTTGGCCAAAACAGGAGACACTACCTAAAAACAAAGCAAAAATGGCTAGGACCGTGACTTAAAAGCCCTTGGGTTCAAACCTCAGTATTATAAATCTACAAAAGTAATGATAAACTTACTATTTCTGTGTTTTGTTTTACTACATATGGCCTGGCTCTTCCAATCAAGGCATTACAAGACTCCAGGGGTTTTGTTTGTTTGCTTGTTTGGAGTTTTTTGTTTTTTGTGTTGGTCGTGGGGCTTGAACTCTGGGCCTGGGTGCTATCCCTCAGCTCATCAACTCAAGGCAAGTGCTGTACCACTTAAGCCACAATGCCACTTCCAGTTTTCTGGTGGTTAATTGGAGATAAGAGTCCCATAGACTTTTCTAGTCTGGGCTGGCTTTGAACCGTGATCCTCAGATCTCAGCCTCCTTGAGTAGCTAGATTACAGGCTTGAGCCACCAGCACCCAGCTCGTTTTTTTGTTAGTGGTGGTGGTGGGTTGTTGTTTTTTTGTTTTTTTTTGTTTTTACAAAGATAGACAATTACTCTTTAGTTGTTCTAGAGAGTAATTGGCTATCTTTCAAAAATACTAAGCATAACACCTCCACTCACCAGACAAGATTTATGAATTCTAGCATAGTTCTGTGCTTTTATATGTCACATTTTGATTACTTGAATTCTTTTTCATGTTTATCTGCATCTCAGTATCTAATAGTTTCCCCAAAAGTAATACTTCTGTATGTTAAAGTATATTGAAGATGATACGCCTGGGTTGGAAGTGTGACTCAGTTGATAGAGCTCCAGCCAATGAGCGAAAGCGTCGGATACCAAGTCCAAGTTCCGATTTTGGAACTAAAAAAAAAGAAGAGGAAAAGAAATAAAGATGATATTCCTACAAGGATAGTAAATTCTCTGTTAGTTATATCAACTATCAACTATAAAGTTGAAAAGCATAGTGAGTAACAGAGGGAAGAAAGAAGGAACAGGGAGAATGAAAATATAATTTCTCCCATTGCAACAACGAGAATTACAACTTTGGGCGGGGGGGGGGGGGGGGGGGGGGGGGGGGGGGATGGGAACGGATGGGAAGGGGAAACAAAGGAGGAGGCAACAATGCTTGATAAGAAATGTACTCATTATCTTGCCCATGTAATTGTAACCCCTCTGTACAGCATTTTCACAATTAAAAAAAAAAAAGAAAATACAAGTTCTTATACTATGATTCATAGGAACATAAATTGTACTTATTAAATTCATCCTGTTTTCACTTCCAAGATACTACCATTCTTGACAATAAATTCTTTGCTGCATTCCAATCAAGCTTAGACATACTACAATGTAAGGTATGCTTTAGTACATCTTCTAATCCTTATATTCCTAAATTCTAAATGCAAAAATGTATAGATTTAAATATATGCTGCCCAGGGCTACAGAGAAAGTCTTTTCAATTATGTAAAGGCAAGTCTTTTCCTGTTAGTCTAGAATCTTTTGTGTCACTAAAACTCTTAAATTGTCACAATAATCACCAGGGGCATAGTTCATGCACACAAAAAAGGGAAGTGGGAAAATAAATTGCAGAGCAGAAGTTCCCAGTTAGCAACTCTGAAAATAAAAAAGATACACTGGGAAGTGATCAGCTACATTTGTAAGAGGGAGCTATTGGTACAATGTCTCTCTCTTCAGAGTGGACAATGGGCACAGACTGGGAGGTGGGAAAAAAAGAACTGGAAGGTTTTTATACTTTGCTGGGCGTGATGTATTTACATATTCCCTGGTATGCACCCAGAGCAGTCAAATCACTTTGTACCACAATAATTTGTAAATCTTTACCACCCTCCACAAACAAAGTTGAAGGTAAAATTTCACACTTAGAGATTAATAATAGTTTTCCAGTTTTGATAGTTGAGTTAATTGATGGTTTTGTTTATTCCAAAAGGTAGCATTTGTCTTGTGAACACAGAACCAATAGAAAACATGAAAAGTTATAGATTGTCCTTGATGGTTTTAGAATTCGGGATTTAATATTAACTCTAAAACATAATTGAAGAAAAACTTACTAAGAGGGATCTGTCAATATATACATAGAGTTATGTGAGATTTATAACTAAAAATTCTCAGACATGATTTGCCCCTAAATATCGTAAAAGTGGCTTTGAAATCATCTATCTTTGTTAAGATATAAGGTGTCAATATGCCTTAAAATTACCTGAAAAATGTGTGTTTTCTGACTAATCTTAAACTCACTACATGGTCTAGGTTGGCCTCAAACTCAAAATCTTCTTGCTTTGGTCTTTTGAGTGGTGGGATTAGGTAAAGTCATTAGGAGAGAGACCCCATAATCAAATCCTACACATATACACACACGCACTGCCTATTTCTCATGCAATTCCCTGCACTGCCTGAGATGGCCAGCAAGAAGATACATTTCCTCAAACTTGCACCTCCACACCTGTGAGCCAAAACAGACCTTTTTTTTTTGTATATGTTCCAGTCAGGCTTGAATTCAGGGTTTGGTGCTGTCCCTGAGCTATTTTGTGCTCAAGGCTAGCAAACCTTACCACTTTGATTCACTGCTCTGTTTCTGGCTTTTTGGTAGTTAGAGATAAGTTTCACAGACTTTCTTCTTTAAACCACAATCCTCAGATCTCAGCTTCATGAGTAGCAAGGATTATAGGCATAAGCCACCAGTCCCTGACTAGACATCTTTCTTTATGACTTGTCTGGTCTATGGCATTGTGTTATTGGCAGCAGAAAATATACTGACATATACATCAACTAACTTCAAGTTGAAGGTTGATATAGAAAGTACTGATCAAGAATTGTGCAAACTGTCATCAATCTAATCTTTTAGAAGTATTTTCAAAAATGAGTTCCTACTCCTAACCATCTCCAACCTAAACTTCTAAGAATCCTGTGTCTCTATCTCCAGGCCTAATTTTGTTACTCTATTCTCAGTAAACTCAAGTGTTCTTCTTCTATCCCAGTTGGACTTTATTCATTCAGTTAAAATTTGTTGAATGTTTACTTTGTGACAAATATCACACTGGAGTGATAGCACAGGCCCCAGAATCAAGCAGATTATGTTAAAATATGGTTGACCACTTGCTGTGAGAGAACACTTCCATTTGTTTCTGTCTCTTTATCTGTTAAAAAGGGAAAGTATAGTACTATATGCTTATTGAAAAGAGAAAAGGAAATTATAACCTACTAAGTACATAGAACCTTCTTGGCACATAGTTAAGCCTCAAAAAACATTAGATGATGGATGTTATTAGAAAGCTGACGATTTAACAAAAACAAGACAGCAGTAACTGCCATGCGAGAGGAAGAACAGGGTATTATTATGGGAGCTAATAAGGTAACTATATTGTCACAAAAGATTTCCCTGTAGAAGAGGCATTAAAATTGAGCAGAATAAAAACAAGTAGTAATCACCTTTGGTAAGAGAAAGGATGGGTCAAGGCAAAAAGAAGTATACATGGAAAGGCACAGGAATCTTTTACTGTGGTATTCAGAGAAGATGAAATAAATTCAGTAGAGATGAGGAATGAAAGACACAGCCAGAAAAGCAGAGTAGGATCTCAATCAAGAACAACTTGAGGATTTTAAGAAGAATGTCATCTGGCCATACCTGGATTTCAAAGTATATGGCTGCAGAAGAAAGTAGATTGAGAATAGAAATAGCTCATGAGCCTTACAGTCATGACATGTTCTATTCTCCTTCAAAGACCACATAAATATCACATTTTTGTGTAAAAACACTTTATTGCTCAAGCTAATAATACTTCTATTTTACTCTGACAATACTCCTATAAACCCATAATTTCTCCATATGGCTAGTACCTGAGACAAGAAAAATGGGAAAGAGAATTAATCATCTACATTTTTCAAGTATAACACCAAGAAAGACTCTCATAAAGTATAAATGAAAGATTTCTGAAGAAGTAGATTGTGACATGGAGCTTAGTGTTTCATGGAAGTAAGGAATACTCATGAAGTTGACATTCGGGAGCGGGAAAGAATCCAACACTGGGGAGAGTGAGGCCAAGCACATCATGAAACATCCCCCAGCCAGCCTCACTGGAAGCTTTAGACCTAGAATGTTTTCCCTCAATTAGCCATTGGGTATGGTTCTTCACATGCAAATCAGCAATCTCTAAATATGCTGGCAGGTAAATGTGATCAGTGCATATGCCCATCAACAGATCATTACAAAGTCCTTCAATGAGGAGGAAATGAAGTGATTATCACAGTGTACACCTTGCTAGGGTGAGATAGCTTAGATATCCAAAAACCCCAGCCAAGTTCATCACAACGCTTATCAAACTTTACCTATAACCACCTATTCATATCTCCTAGTAAGCATGATCTTCTTTGCAGGAGAAAAATGCATTTTTCAACATACATAGACAAGTGGGAAAAGATAGTTTAAAAAAAAAGGAAGACGAAGAAGAGAAAGATTCCAAATTAATGAGAACCTTTTTTTTTTTTTTGTCAATACTTAAGTTTTGATCTCAGGGCCTTGCCCTTGCTGGCCTTAGAGTAATGTCACTAAGCCATGTCTCCAGCCCTGTTTCTCACGTCGTCATTTTTAGAATAGGGTCTATCCTCCCACCCTAGAACATAGATGAAATCTACTGGCACATGCCACCATGTCTAGCTTTGCTCTGTGGAGGGGCAGTATTGTGCACATTTATGTCCAAGCTGGGCCCATAACATGAACCTCCCATTTTTAGCCTTCCAAATACTTAGGATTACAGGTGTGAGCTATTGTGTCCAGTTACTTTATACCATGTGAGGGAATATATCCAAGCACATAAATTAGACATGTATCTGCTATTACAGAGCTAGTATAACTAACTACAGTTGTAGACTCATAGAGTACTTAGCCTCTCAACACATTGGTCTAGCATTCTGCTGTGTTATGGATCTACTTTACCTGATTTTTCCACTTTTAAGGCACCTATAAAGAATATTTAAGCCAAGTGAGGTGTCTCATAAATATAATCCTGGCTACTTAGGAGGCTGAGGGCTGAAGGACAGTGGTTTGAAGCCAACCTAGATAGAAGAGAGACTTCAGGATTCTATCTCTGAAAATAACTAGCATAAAGTTGACTTGAAGTTATGGCTCAAGTAGTAAAGCACCAGCTGACCAAGTGGGCCAAGCAAATCCCAGTACTGACCCCAAAACTATTTAGAATATTTAGCCTCTTAGTCTATTTAAAACAAGAAAATATTTACTGTGAATCATCAGTTAGCTCCATGATCTATTGTGTAACTGTGACTCAAGATTTTTAAGAAAGGAATGTACTCTATTCTTAGAAGTTTATTATGTTTTTAGAATTACATCGGTTTGCAATTATCTCTCAACCTGCATCGCTCCTTTACTAGGACAAACTCTTAAATTCTACCATGGACTACTGCAACTGAAAAGCTGCAGTATGATACCATCCATCTTCCACGCATTAAACTAACTCAAAGAGAACAAAAAGGTCAAATCCATTTTCTTAAAACATTTATCAGGGAAATGCCCTTCCAGATATACGTGAGAAAATTCAAATATTTGTTGGTTCTCTGTTGGCACTGTCACATGCAGGTGGTCTATAAATTCCCCATAATTCCAATACATCAAAGATTTAGATTATTAAGGCTGCCTGGGTTTTGTCACCTTAGCACTACTATATCATCTTTACTTTTGAGGAAACCCTAACAAATGTATCTTTGAGAACTTTTGAGTTGAATGCCTGTATTGGGTTATGTTGTACAAATTTAGATAATGCTGGAAACTAAATTCCTCACAGTTCTCTCACTGTGTGGTACCAGGTTGGAGATGGCAAAAGAAGAACTGCACA